ACACACACACACACACCCCCGGCTAAGGACCTATTTGATTTACATACACAGCATGAAGTTCCCTTCGCTTTGAACATCCCCTGGCCCTCTCTCCCAGACACACAACCTGAGGGCAAAATGAACCTTTCCAAGCAAAGTGGCCCCATGAATGCCCCCAGACACAGAAACCCAGACTCTAAATTATCTAAAATGAGATTTATTGCATTTCATGCAGTCTGAAGTCCATGCAAAGGAGACTAGCACAGTGTTTAATGCATTTAAAAAATAAAGGGGAGGTGGGCAACAAACGCACAAAGTCCTAGTCTCCTGGGTCCCTGGGAGAAAAGAGTGTGGCAATGAACCCACCCACTCTCCATGGGGAATAAATCTCTTAAATGCAAGGAATGTTTCCATGGCCTCTGGATGCAAATACACAGAGCTCTGGCGTAAGAGCAAGGGATGGGGAGAGGACCACGAGTGAAAAAGCAGCTACACACATTCACCTAATTCCATCTGAGGGCAGAACAACGTGGCAAGTCTTGGGGGTAGCAGCTGTTCCAAGAGTCAAGAAATACCATACACCCCTGGGGAGATTTGCTCCTAAAAAGAAGTGGCGGTAACAAACAACAACAAAAAAAAAACAAAAGAAGAAATATTTCTTTAACCACACTCTTCAAGAAAATGCCATAAATATGTTATTTAATATTTTAATTTCATAGCATTGGACACATAGCTCAACATATTGAAATATTGATTCCTTGGAGAAAAAAATGGAAAAAAAAGGAAACAAAAAATATTGCATCTTTCTGCTGGAGAATCTTGGCCCCCAGGCATGGGGCGTAGTGCACCAGTGTCCTAGCCTGCAGGAGGCGCTGAGGTCGGCCGGGTCCTCTGGGGAGGAAGGCTGTGCCCATCGCCTGGGGCTGTATGGCAAAAATTGTGTTGGGTGTCCTTGGCCTTGCCAGCTCAGGCCCTCAGTCGCCGGTCACCTGGGGGGCCTGCCCGTCGGAGGGCTGGTTGGCTGACTGGATGAACATGGGCTGGGCGAGGTCCTGGCCCGCAGGCATGGTGACTTGCTGGATCTGGTAGAGCTGCTGCGAGGGGTGGAGAGGAGAGAGTGAGGTCACCCCTGGGAGAGGGGCATGCAGCTCCCTATGGGTCTCGAGCTGGTTGGGGGTCCCAGATACCTCAACCACCACCCACTGCAAGGCGTCAGAAGGAGGAGGGGAAGTGGAGCTCTGCTGGGGTTGGGAGCAGCAGACACAGGAGGCACCAGCCCGGTGTGAGGGGGGGTGTGTGGTGGGCAGGGAAGAGGTGCAGGGAGTTGAATTTCCTGTGGCTTTCACTTCTCTGGGCTCTGCCTCTCCCGTTAGCTCAGAGACTCGAGCTTGCTGCACGCTGTTCCTCTGTGGCAAACACAAGCAATTCGAACCACTGTACCAGCAGCTTGGAAGTCAGCATTTCCCCAACTCTTGGTAATCTACACTGGCAGGGGCAGTAGGATTACCCCCTCCTCTCCTCCTTTTCTCAGAATATCCGGCTCAGGTTGAAACTAAACTGAATTTGAATTTTCTCCATGGGCCCTGCTAAGGAGGTGGCCTGGTATAAACACTTAACTATAGCCAAGACCCTTCAGGGGTGGAGAAGATACTCACACAGCCACTTAGGAAGGGCAGGGCTAACTGACTACTTGGTTTTCCAGGCGCTCCCCAAAGAAACCAAAAGCCAAGACCTCACGGGAGCCCTGGCATGTAAGCCTAGCATGTGGTGCTGGCAGAAGCCAGAGGTGGGTCCTGATGCCAGCTCTTCTCCCTTTTGAGCAGCAGAGGGCACAAGTTTGGGCATGTCATCCTATCATGTCCTCAGTGGTCTCTGGTACTGTACTGTGAGGGGAAAGCAGAGGGAAAAGGGAAGATCCTCTCCTTGCAGGGACTGAAAATTACTGAATTTCAGGTACCCAGAGAGTTCAAGAGGTCACATGTTCTCTGCAACTCAACAGTCTATGCTATTAAAAAACATTATGGCTCAGGGGAAAAAAATACAGTTCTAGAGAGGGAAACAGGAAACCTGCTCTCTAGTCCTGTCTCTGCAATGAACATCTAGGGGAGCATGGACAAGGCACTTCCCATCTCCAGGGTTCAGTCTACTCATCTGTAAAATAGCAACTGGGGCTACATGGTCTAAGATTATTTTTAGTTACAACTAAGTCTATAAAACTAAAGGATAGGTGCCCTGATTTAAATACTGTACTTGTTTTAACAATTTCTGTCCACTCCTTGTTAGGAGAGGACAGGACAGCTGCCCTAACCATCCAAACCCAGATACTACCTGCTACCCTGCCCCGCAATTCCTCACCCTCTGCCCCTGCCCAGGCTGGGTACCCTACCTGTCCATCTGTGAACTGGCTGAACTGCTGCTGTCCTTGCTGGACCTCTGTCTGGGTAATCTGTAAGAATCAAGATGGTAGAGTTGACATGTCAGCTGCAGGGTCTGATCCACCAGCCCACCACCCAGAAGAAGGTTATAAAGATCAAATGAGACAATGCATATAAAGTGCCCAGCTCAATGGGTAGTAAGAAAGCGAGGGCCCCTCCTAATCTTCTAGCACTGATGGCTATCCCAGGAGTTGGCAGCACAAAGGGACATCGAGAATCCTGAGCACATAATAGATAGTTCCCACCCCCATCTCTCTAATGAATGCCTACTCCCTCAACCACCCACTCATCTGAAGGTCCTGAGGCTCAAACAGAACACATGGCTCCTAGGTGCGATGGTTTGGGGTAGAAGTCCTAAGAGTCAGTCTTTCAGCCAGTGAAGGTGGATTGCAAAGTGTTAGACAAAGTGGTGAGTGGTCTCTTTCATTCTTAGAAGGTGGGCTCCAAACCAAACCTGTATCACCCAGATCATCTGACTGGAATATGAAACACCCTGGCAAGCAAGTGGCCTTGGCCCCAGCAGTCCTCATGGCAAACCTATGAAGTACTTTTTCCGAGAGAGGCACTGTGCAGTCCTCTAGGCCAAGGGAGGGGAGGAGAAAGGGGGAGGGACGGGGAGTGGAACAAATACAACATTTATCACGAGTACTTAAAATCTTACTTGCGGACTGTGAATGGACTTTAGATAAATTTACTGACATGCAGAACTGCATATATAATGACAACTGCTGGAAGCAGCTTGGTAAACTAGAAAGAAGACTGCGGTATGCATGCACATGTGTTCCTATGGAACATCTGACCAGCAGTGTCCTCTGTGTACCATTTCCTGGAATCATCACAGCCAGCCTGCAAGACAAGGACTGTCCTCTCAAATGTCCTCACCACGGCCAAAAACAACCCCTGCAGGCCTACCCATGAGGCTATGAGGAACAAGAAAGGGAACGGGTATAAAAGGCTTCATGACTGTTTCTTTTTTTTTTTTTTTGAGACAGAGTCTCGCTCTGTTACCCAGCCTGGAGTGCAGTGGCGCGATCTCGGCTCACTGCAAGCTCCGCCTCCTGGGTTCACGCCATTCTCCTGCCTTGGCCTCCTGAGTAGCTGGGACTACAGGCGCCCGCCACCTCGCCCGGCTAGTTTTTCGTATTTTTTAGTAGAGATGGGGTTTCACCATGTTAGCCAGGATGATTTTGATCTCCTGACCTCGTGATCCGCCCGTCTCGGCCTCCCAAAGTGCTGGGATTACAGGCTTGAGCCACCGCGCCCAGCGACTATTTCTTACTATTGTTCCTTATTTTGGTCCTTTTCCTTCCAACAGCCTATAAGCTGCTTGAGGGCAGGGCCCATACAAAATAAGTATTCCAGAAATGTCTGCAGAATAAACAAGTGAGCCCGAGACAAATGGAAAATATTCCACATAGATAAGAAGGTTAACTGCTCTGTGGCGAGCAGGATTGCCATTCATATTAGCTGAGATTTCACTTACCTTTAAATTTTATTTACATATTATTCATTCTGCTTCAACAAACATTTACTGAGCACCTACTAAGTACTAGGTCGTCACAATTACAACCTGTTGTTACAAAGATTTTCATTGCCTTCAGTTACCGCTTTCTTGCTTCTCCCCAACCTCTCCCATTTTTTGGCTTTAGTTCTGTTCTCAAAACCAAATTTTTTTTTTTTTTTTGAGACAAAGTCTCACTCTGTCACCCAGGCTGGAGTGCAGTGGCACAATCTCGGCTCACTGCAACCTCCACCTCCTGGGTTCAAGTGATTCTTGTGCCTCAGCCTCCCAAGTAGCTGGCATTACAGGCGTGTACCACCACGCCCAGCTAATTTTTGTATTTTTAGTAGAAATGGTTTTGCCATGTTGGGCAGGCTGGTCTCAAACTCCTGACCTCAAGTGATCCACCCGCCTCGGCCTCCCTCCCAAAGTGCTGGGATTACAGGCGTGAGCCACCGTGCCCAGCCCCAAACTGACTTCTGAGGAACCAAGAAGCTTCCTTCTCATTTCCTCCCACTCCCATGCCATTATGTTTTTAGGATCCCAGGGAAGAATCTTACAAGGTTAAAAAGAGGGGCTGGGGGAAGGGTGTGAGTCAGTATCAGTTACGGAAGAGCCGAGTCCTTAGGTAAGCCAGGGAGTGGGCAAAGAGCGAGCCCTTAATGATCCCAGAGACTATATGGAACTCAGAAGCCTTGCTTTTGGCTCATTCTTCATATTTTCCCAAATGAGATCTTTGGAGACCTGCTCTACAAACTCAGCTCTGTCACCACTGTCAATAGATACATCACTAGAAATGCAACTGGGCCAGACGGGTCCAGCTTTTAAACGATCGCTGCTTTTTTTGGGTCTGAGGCAAAAGAATCCATTAACAATGCCTCCCCTTGACCAGCACCCCCCATCTTCTACAAATGGTGCCCACATCCCTCAATACCCCCAAGCCCAGGGAGGCAGCCCCCTCACCATCTGTGACTCAGCCATCAATACTGTAGAGCACGAGAGGAGAGGGGCAATTTTTCTGGTCAGGGATGCAAAAGGAGGTGGAGGTAAAATCTAAGTAAGCTTTCCAAAGGGCACAGGAGGTGCCAGAACACAACAGCCACTTGGGTTTAAAGAGGGAAACAGCCTGACGATTAGGAGATCTGTCGAACATATCCCGGGTCTGACGGGTGTGCACACCTATAAGATTTCTTTCAGGCACCTTCGAGGCTTCCCCTGACTTGCATTTCTTTGCCCCTTGAGAACAAGACAGTAAGAGAAAACACTTTGAACCTAATGTTCCAATTACCACCCATGCCTCTTGGGTGCAGAAGAGATATGGAGGGTGTGGGGGTGGTGCCTCTGGCTGAAGGATGAGGAGGCAAGACAGTTGTGTGCTGAGTGCTCCTTTCCTGTCAGAAGCCACCTGCTCCTGGTCTCCAACACAAGCCCTGTGTCTCTGGGGCACATACCTGTTGAGCATTGGTGGCAAGTGTCTGGATCTGTCCCTGCACAACTTGAGTGCCTGATACAGGCTGGGCTAAGCGGATATACTGCAGCTGGCCGGCGTTCAGCTGCACCTAGGGCAGGGGCAGAGACAAAGAGACCATAAGACATTGAGCATAATCTCAAACAGGCAAACTTTCCATGACGAGAGATGGTGATTGCCCCCTACCCCTCAAGCCCTCCAAAGAAGCCTGCCCTGAAAAAAGTTCCTTTTAAAGAGAGGTCAAAACAAGCAAAACCAGAACATCCACAAGTCACACAACACAGAAGAGAATATGTTCCCTGAATGGACTTCAGAAAAAACTCCCAGAAGATCCTGTCACAAAGGTGAGAACAGCATGGCTGCATGCTCGTTATTTGCCGGATTTTAGCTACATGATCACGGCTTATCTTCGGAATTTATCTGACATGATCAGAATGCCTGTACATTAAGTGTGGGCCTCTTTCCCTCCCATCTCCCACAATTCCCAATACTGTAAAGAGATCCAGCGTCCGCCAGGAGCCCAAAGCAGACAGCCATCATTCCGCATCATAGCCCTCACACTGCCCTGCCCCATGCTGCACATCTTGGAGGCAAAAGCTGGCCTGCTTAACCATCTCTCTCCCCAACAGCCAGGCTGGATGGGGGTCTGTGGGGCTTTTAGGATCCTTGGTGTTCAGCACTAGCTTCTGGCCAAACACCTCCCAAGGGGAAGCAGAATCAATAAACCTTTCACAGAAAACCCCATCATGGGAAACCAAAGCTACAAAAGCGCCCTTAGAGTCTCTCATGCTTACGATTAAATCTCAGATAATACAATAATACTACATGCTGCATTTAATTGTGTGCTAAAAGCCTTAACTCAGGCTCTTAATGCTCCAGTGTACCATGAAAGTATTAGTGCTTTGAGCTAGGGATGAAAAGAGGACCAAGGCAGTTACCATGTCAGAGAACCGTAGCTCAGCAAAGATGATGGTCAGCAGGGAAGGACTCCAGACATTCACACCCTCAATTTAGAGGAAATGAAAGGGGTTCTGGGAGCATGGATAGACTAGGTCTCTATCTGGGGGCCCCAGAAACCACCTGCCCTGGCTGCCCAGTCTGCTTTGTTGCAAGGAGGAGCTTCTTGCGGCTAACAGGTAAGTGTTGCCTCTGCTCTGGAGCAAATTTCCCTCTGGTCTTCACGAGCTGCAGGACTCTTCCGTGAGGAAAATGCTAATGGGATGAAGCTGTACTCCTGCACACAGTGTTCAATCAAAATGCTTCTCTGAGACTCCCAGCCTCACAGAATCTGAACTACCAAGAAAAAACGACCTCTCAAATTCATGGTAGACCATTCTAGAATTGCCCACTTGAGGCAAGATGGAGGGACACACAATCCAAAACCATTAACAATCTGGTTCAAAGGAGACAGGGCAAAAGTATTATGACCTGCAGTCATTTCTTTCCTGAGAATATGCCAAGAGAAGCTGCTGGGAGGCTGTGGTGCCAAGCCTGAATTCCCCACCTAAATCCTATAATGCAGCTTCCTGGCAACAATGTTAAGTTGCTTGTGGGGAGGAAGGCAGCTGCGCGGAGGTATGGGAAACCTCATCTACAGAGACTGATGGTGGCTAGTCCCAGGAGTCCCCAGAACTCCAGCCAGGAATCACAAGAAGACTAAAGTCTTGTCACAGGAGTGGGAGAAGGTATAATGACAGCTACACGAATGTAAAATTTTCTAGCTGGGAAGAGCTCTTTGCAGAAACCCAAATGTGACTGAAAAGCTGTGAGCCAAATGGTTCCAAGCAGCTCTTCAACAGAAGCAAGAGTTTTCCTTTTTAGCTTAGGTTAAGACATTTGGTGATGATCCGTCCCTCATTTCTCTACAGCAAGACAGGTTTGGGGATCCTCATAGCTTTTTTACATTAATTACAGACAAAATAAGCTCTGGGTTTTTGAAAGGCAAATAAAGTTTCCTTCCTGAAGCTCATCACTATTAGGAACATTCCAATGAGCTGCCTAAAGAGTCTGGAAATGAAGACTCCTACAGAAAGTGCCTGAGCCAGTGAAGATGAAATAGTGAATTCTGCAACAAATCTGCTAGGTAAAGCTCTGTGTCCCAGAGGGTTAAAGTATCTGCAAGGTGGAACTCTCTATTCTCTGGCTTAAATGAACCTGTGGCGGTGCCTTCACTTGCAAAAACGAGAACCATTCAACAGAAATCTTGGGGTTGGGGACTGAAACAATGAAGCAAAGCAGAGCTCAGTCATGCAATCCATGGGTATTGTGAGCACACGTGAGAGAGGCGGAGAAAGAGACACACACGCCGCTTTCGTAAGCTTTCTCTTGGCCTATTACCATGTTAACTTCAGATGAAGAACAATTCCTAAACTGATCTAAGGATACTTTCAGAGTTATTTTCACAGAGGAAGTGGTTAACCAAGTCTATGTGAGTTTCTATACCTGCCTACGTTTCATTTATGACAAAAATGGCAAAGGGCAGGGAATAGAAGGACCGCTCTGTTTCACTCACTTTCCAGTTTTGGGGGTCAAAATTACCATGTACAGACTGCAAGTGTTAAGACAAGGACACATTTTACAAAAGAAGGAGTACAAATAAAAAAGCCAACAAATCTAAGAATTGAAATCCCTCAAGGCACACAGGAAGCAGCAGTCCACAGTAAAGGAATGGATAAGTTATATGAAAGCCAAAAATACACTTTGCTGCAGGATCCACTGGGAAATGAGTCATGAATATGCAACAAGTGTATTTATGGCCTTCCCTATACACCTCCCTCTTATCCTCTGCTGATCAAATACAGGACTGCCTCACAGGGCCTTTGGGCCTTGTCATGGGTAGTGGTTACAACGATTTCCCTGCATAGGTGGAATGAGGGGAAATCGAGTGAAGATGCCCCACTGTGGGGAACCTGAACCTAGATTAAAGGAAAGCAGGGAACAAACACAGTGAAGCAAGTTGTGTTCAGGAACACTGGCATATAGATTAAAAACAAAACACACACACACACACACACACATAAAAATAAGTATTGTGGGCTGGGTGTGGTGGCTCACGCCTATAATCCCAGCACTTTGGGAGGCTGAGGCAGGCAGATCACCTGAGGTTAGGAGTTAGAGACCAGCTTGGCCAACACTGTGAAACCCCGTCTCTACTAAAAATACAAAAATTAGCTGGGCGTGGTGGCACGCACCTAAAATCCCAGCTACTTGGGAGGCTGAGGCAGGAGAATCGCTTGAACCCGGGAGGCAGAGGCTGCAGTGAGCTGAGATCAAGCCACTGCACTTCAGCCTGGGCGACAGAGCAAGACCTATCTCAAAAAAAAAAAAAAAAAAAAAAAAGTATTGTGCGTGTGTGTGAGATATATAGATATATATCAAGGCATAGATATATCTTTAAGTATTTCCTTCTATAAAGCTGTAAAGACAAACCTCAGGGCAGGACTCACCGGGATCTGCTGGATCTCTCCCGTGTTAGTGATGATCTGCTGCATCACCTGCATGGTCTGTCCAGTGCTACTCTGGGCCTGCTGGGCTTGACCCTGTGGCTGGGCCTGGACAATCTGCACCTGCTGACCTTCTCCAACCTGCATTGTCACAGGCGTGGTCTGAAAGGAAGAGTTATGAGAATGCTGCATGAGTTCAGGCTTAGAGCCCACAGGATTACCAAGAGGTTAATAACGAGCAGTGTGCCGGGAGCAAACCCTCTCAATGAATGCCTAAACTCATCTCAATACTAGTAATGCAGAGTCCTCTGGGTTTACAGCATTGCTAAAGCTACTCTCCAAAATGAAAGAAAAGCCAAAAATATTTTAAGGCTCACAGTACAAATATCTGCATGGGTCCCAAACATAAATCTCTGTGCCCCAAATGCTGCAAATTTTCACAGCCCCTTTAGTGATGATAAGGCACATACACTACAGAAAAAATCAAAAGCAACCATGACAGTTTACTTCAGAAATAGTCAAAGTCAAGTCTGGGGCAGATGAATTTGGAGGGTAACATTAAATGGAAAGGGTACGGATTTAGTTAGTTCAGGGTCATGTGCTCTTTCTTAGGCATTTAAGACACTGAGAGAAAAATAACGCACAGGGGTACATCTCCGAGGCTGACCCTAGTGCACACTGGCTCTCACCCCATTCAAGCCGCAGAGCAATTCCTGCCCACACTGGCCAGATGGCTACTCTGGACCACAGCATGGCTTCCCACAGGAGAGCAAACACTGCTAACTCACTGGGCACTGTTAAGACACAGACTCTTAACTAAGTGTACCCCTAATTAATAGAATTTAGAAAGCAAGAACTCTAACTTCCTAAAAACAGCAATCTCGGATCTAAGAAATTTCTGCCCAATGTGTATGACTTGGCAGATTCTGTCTCTCACACACAATGGTTATAGTCCTATGAAATGTACTCTTCTGAGAGATGGTAAAGACACAAGCTGCCAAAAGGGTCAATTATTCTTTCAAATCTCAAAACTTTAGTACTATCTGTAACTTTCACAGGTTACCTAGAGCAGTGAGCCTATCTGGCTCATCTGGTGGTGGTAGTGATGGGGGGTGCGGCGGCGGCGGCGGAGGTGTGTGGGTGGAGCCTTTTAAACTACACCTGTATATCCAATCCCTGACTTGAATTCTGTCACTCTGTCTCCCCCACTCTGAATTAATCACCTCAATAAGACGACTATGGAACTCTCAATGAATCATAAACTTCAACTGATGTTGCTATTCTGATGTTCTTAATTCTGACTGCATAGATTACTGAAAATTACAACTATGCATCCAAAGTTACAAGGGAAGGGGATGTGTTCTGGGAACGACAGATGAGATTCAAGGGATTACTAAGGAGAAATTACTACAAACTGGAGGAGGGCAGGAAAGAAAGACGACAGAGTGTTCTAAAAGTACATGCAGTGGGCTAGGCTAACAGAAAACATCTCTTCCATTCTTGTACCACAATTTTCAACTCAGCCTATTCCCAACTTCCATAAATAAGTTTCCAATTTATGACAGAAAACACAGGATTAATTTTACCAAAATATGCATTCTTTCCAACTCTGCTTTGATACATATGTATTCTGTCCTACAAAGCATATCTGCACTCAACTTGAAATAGCCATCACAACAGGTCCAGGGAGGTGTGACACAGCACAAGGCCACCCTGAAGCAGCAGGATGGTGAAAGAACAGCCAGGAAATGCTGAGAAGGACCAACTTCACCATCCTCACAAGCCTTATCAGCTCCAAGATGAGCACGTCTGGGTTGGCAGACAAGAGGATAGATGAAATTCTCGCTGACTAAAAAGAAATGCATGCTGCCAACTCATCACTGTACTATATCAACCCAATTTTCCCAAGAGGATTTCCAAGGTATTTCTAAATCATTTCAGGAAAATGAGGGCTTGTGTTAGCATGGCAGCTGTCAAATCATGTATGGTGTGCCCTGCTGTCAGAGCACAACAGCCATGAGCTTCTTAGGATGATCAGCCAATCAGAGCCTGCCCTTGGCAGACTCCCTCTAAGTTCACTCTGTAAAGGGATAAAGCCTTTGGCAGGTCAAGCTTTCACCACTGTAGAGGCACAAGCATTAGCCAAAGAAGGTCCCTTAGGCATCATGGTGCAACTGAGGTCTTGAGGCAGTGACTGAGCAGCCATTACCTTTGAACCCTCCTGCCTAGCACAGTGTCTGGCATAAAACAAGTACTCAATACATTTTTGTAACATGGATAAGTAAATGAGCAGGGAATAAATCCTAAAATCATAATTACCTTTTTTTTTTTTGAGACGGAGTCTCGCTCTGTCACCCAGGCTGGAGTGCAGCGGCATGATCTCAGCTCACTGCAACCTCCGCCTCCCAGGTTCAAGAGATTCTCCTGCCTCAGCCTCCCGAGTAGCTGGGACTACAAGCACCCACCACCATGCCCGGCTAATTTTTGCATTTTTAGTAGAGATGGGGTTTCACCATATTGGCCAGGCTGGTCTCGAACTCCTGACCTTGTGATCCGCCTACGTTGGCCTCCCAAAGTGATGGGATTACAGGTGTGAACCACTGCACCTGGACAAATCATAATTACAATGGTGGCTCATGCCTGTCATCCCACCACTGTGGAAGGCCAAGGTGAGAGGATGGCATGAAGCCAGGAGTTCGAGACCAGCCTGTGAAACATTAATGAGACTCCATCTCCACAAAAAAATTAAAAATTATCCAGGTGTGGTGGCATACGCCTGGGAGTCCCAGCTCCTCGGGAGGCTGAGGCAGAAGGATTGCTTGAGCCCAGCAGTTTGAACCTGCAGTAAGCTATGATTGTGCTACTCCAGCCAGGGTGACCAAGTGAGAACCTATCTTTAAAAAAACATCAATCCATCCATCTACCTCCACCCCATTTTTTTTCTTCTAGGCAAACTCAGCTCCTTATTAGAATACACAAGGCTGTCCAGGATGTGTTCACTACCTATCTTTTCAAACTTGCCTAGATGGTCTCCTATGCTGACTACTTTCCCATGGCTCCCTGTACTGTTTCTCACTTCTAAGCCTTTGCCTATGCTGTGCCCTCAACTGGCAATACCACCCTTTCCCGCTTTCTTTGATTAATTTCCACTGTTCCCTAAGACTCATATTACTTCCTTCAGGAACATTATCTGACCATCTCCTTCACATCTTTCTTAGCTACTCATCCTCATATATATATATATACACACACACACACACACACATACATACATATATATACACACTTTTTTTTGAGACAGCATCTTGCTCTGTCACCCCAGCTGGAGTGCAATGGCACAATCACAGTTCACTGAGGCCTTGACTTCCTTGGCTCAAGCGATCCTCCCAACTCAGCCTCTTAAGTAGCTGGGACACAAGTGCATGCCACCATGGCTGGCTAATGTTCTGATTTTTTGGTAGACACAGGGTCTCACCATGTTGCCCAGGCTGGTCTTGAACACGTGGGCTCATGCAATCCCCCTGCCTTGGCCACCCAAAGTGTTGGAATTACACACAAGCCACCACATGTCCCTGCCTTTTTTTTAAATTAAAGAAGAGGTCTTGCTGTGCTGCCTGGGCTGAAGTGCAGTGGCATGATCCTACCTCACTGTAACCCAAACTCCTGGGTTCCTCTCACCTTGGCCTCCCAAAGTGTTGGGATTACAGGCATGAGCCACTAAGCTGAGCCAAGGTACTTCTTTTGATGTGTTCCTATAACACCCTGTACACATTCCCACGTGGAGGTACAACCTTTAAGTATTTGTATCCCCAACTAAATTGTGAATTCCTTGAAAATAAGGACTGTTGTATTCATGCTTGTATCCCCAGTACATAGTACAGGACTTTACCCTCAGAGGATGCTCAGTGTTTGATGAATAAATAATGATTGACAGAGAATTTGGATTCAGAGCTCACAGTACAGAGTTCTCTGCAGCCTCACATGACCCCCAACAAACATGAATGCTACTGCTCTCAACAATACTACTGGGGAGAGAGAGAGTCCTCTGATTACTATCGTAAAAAGAGAAGGTCCCTTGACACAAATATGGGACACAGAAATGACGGGGAGAAGGAGTATGCAAACTGGCAATGATACCTAATCTCTCCTTTTAAGGGCACAAATTCCACTTCTGACACAGACACACAGACAGCAGGCATGGAGTTCACTTTAGTACCTCTACAGAGATCCCACTACTCTTCATAAGGCATTTCAGACATTTTTTTTCTCTCCTAAAATTTCTGAGCTAATAGGGATCCTGGAGAACATACTGTCCACTACACTTTCATTTGACCTTTGAGAAAAACAGGGTCCAGAGAGATTAGGGTGACATCTCACCCCAGTAGCTGAATCTGGGGAAAAGTTCCCGTTTCCAGACTTTAAATCCAGTGCTCTCTAATGATCCGGCTGCCTCTCTGCCCTCATCAAGCTCTGCCCATCCAAAAACCTAAGGGGCACGGGGCACTGTCTTGCTGGATGGGCATCCCCAGCAGCTCACAGACCTGGCCCTGCTGAGGCTGTGCGATGATGATCTGCCCAGGCTGGATGGTGGTCGTGGAGCTGGTGGTCTGCTGGCCTTGCTGCTGGCCCTGGACTTGGACAGCGGTGGGCTGCTGAGCCAGCGTGAAATAGTACTGGACTGGCTCGGCAGGAGTTACAGACTGGCGCACCTCCTCCTGTTGGGTGGAAAGAGAGACAGGTAAGAGAAAAAGAACCGATTCAGCAACCGCCACAGTGAATTTCCACTCTTCCCCCAAACAGGCTATGTGCAGTTGCCTGCTGAATGCTGAGCTCTCCACATTTGAAGCCAAAGGAAAGTGGAATTCAAAGAGACCAGTTATGCTAAATCAAACTAAAAATAACAGATCCTATAGGCTTCACAAAACATATAGCCAAGTACGAAATAATCACCCATTGCATGATAAGTTGCAAACGGGCAAATAATTACTGTAACTAAAAACCACGCACCAGCAGTGCTTGTCAGTAAATGCTGTCAAGGCCTGTGATCTGAGAACAGTGCTAACTGCACGTGTTGGGAAGATGCTACCCAAACATCAAGCCTCTCAGGCCTGGTCCCAATCTCCCAAACAGGCAGCACTCTTCTCATTTTATCCCCACCACTTCAAGGGGGACAGAACAGGTTAATGGGAAACAGGGCTTTTCCTGAGCTGAAATTTTCAGGATCGAGAGCACTGGTAGGCAAGTACCCAGCTTTTCACAGCTTGTTGAAAGCTCTGTGGTCACGGAGGGCATGTCTATCCAGTGTCACATCTGGTTCTGGTTGTACTTAGCCACAGAAGCGCAACCCAGGGGGCCTGATGGACAGCTCTCCGCTGGGGTACTGCCTTGGCTGATTAGGGAGGTCGCATTCTGTCCGATCTGCGGAGTGGAGACTGTTCCTTCTTCAGCTGATGTTTTCCATGGCAGAAGGAGTAAACAACCCTCTCCCAGCCACCTTGAGCTCACAGCTGAGAGTGTAGGATGTTTACACACACTACAGCATGGTTATAGCCCACAGGGTCCAGGGTTGGTCAGCCCCTGACCACTGACACAGAACGGCGTCTGATCCGGAGTGACCTGTGTGACACATGGTGCCCCTGCCTGGGACAACAAAAACAATAAAAACATAGAACCACTTGGGCTGGCTGAGTAAAAATATTAGCTAAATTTACTCATGTCCTTATTCAGGGCAAAGTTTGCCATGTTCCAGAAAAGAGGAAAAGACACTTCTTAGAAGTACACAAACCCTGTGGGCTGCCTCAAACTCCCCAAAGTAACATTTACAAAGCTGGTATTGACCCCATTCCCAACATTATGTTAGGTGCCCTGAACCGTGCTTCCAAAGTACTGTCCTCATAGTATACACTTTTGCACTTTCATGTCAAATTAACTGTTCTACTAAAATGTAAGTGCCATGAGGGCAAAGCCTAGCTCCCTCTTGCTCTCTGCTATCCCCTGCGTTCCCAGGTAGGCACTCAATAAGTGCTTGCTGAATGATGAACGGATTTATTTAGACAGGCAGACAGAGGCAGGAAAGTACTTCTCTGAATCTAAGTTGGTGGTATGACAAATTCTCTTAAACCCAACTGTTGTTACCAATAGAAAAAAGTAGTCTCTAAACTCTCTTTTGGTACCTCTAGGACTCTGTGGCTACAGTGTGGGGAAGCAGCTGGTGTCCCCTGTGGAACAGAGCTGAGTATCCTTTGTTTGCCTGATGACTGGGGGCCAGGACACTAAAACTAGGACTGCCAGTATCTAGCCCCTGAGAAACATGGGTCTCTGCATGACACGGTTACTTGACAGCCATCTATCCAGCTTAGGGAGATACCTGTAATATTCTGGGTTTCTCAGTTAATGTATGAACTGACTTTCTAGGTTAATATATTCTGTGCTTCAGACACAAACAGTTTTAACCCTCAATATGATTATGCCGAGGCAGAAGGAAAAGGAGATTCCCTTTTATTTTCATCTAGGTCTCAATTTCCACAACAACCTAAAAATGGCAACGTCAACTCCATTTCAACCCCAACTTATCATCATTATAAATAAATGTCAGCCTGCAAACTAGGTCTTGGCTGTGGCAAGGCTAAAATACTGATACCTTTTGCAGCCAAGAAACAGAGGCCAACTGCTCTTTGCAAAGTTGTTGAAGTAGGTTCAAGGTACTTGGGTTCCACTGAGATCTCCCTTCTTATTTTACAAAAAATACAAATCACTGAAATCCAGACCTAACTTGGAAAAGCTCTCGGGTAATGAGAGGGTATACAGGACTGAAAGCCCTAGAACCATCTGTGTAGGAAGCTAGGCAGCAGGGAGACACCTGCATTTTCTAGCCCTGACCTGTGATTGTTTAGTCTCCAGTTATCCCCGACTACAGCTGATCTAGTATTGAATATGATCTTTTTGTCAGACAAAAAGCAAACCCTTTAAAAACCCCTTCCAGAACCCAAAATACCTCTTGCCAAAAACTATGAGAGCAGGTAAAGAGCTCCTCCTATGCTGCTTACTAAATCCTCTTAAACTGTTTATGAACTAGACAATATCTAGGATGCTGTGAGAATCAAGTGGAGGCACCTAGGTTTGTGTTGTTAGGACAAGGCGCAACTGTTCTCAAATCAATGAAATGGAAGAAGGCATATCTAAGGCTCTTCTGCATTATGAAGACTCGTTCTGCCAGTGGAAGTCAAGCTAGCAAGGAAATGATTATGCTTGGTTTAAAGAAATGGGTGAAAAGATAATGACATTTCAATGGGCAGGAACTTTCAACTCATAGCTTTAGTGGGGCAGAAGTCAGGCCTCACCTACCTACTACTTTCAAATAATCTTTACTTGCTTCTCTGAAGAACAAGCGAAACTCCCAAGCATCTTTGAGAAGTCAGAGCCTAGGACTCACAATTCAATATTTCTGGCTAGTTCCTTATCCCAGCAGTGGGAGGTTGTCCCAAGTGGTAGAACAATCGTTTAATGACTGGATCAATCCAGAATGGGGCACTTGCTCAACTTTAGCAGTGGCCTCCCCAACTAGAGGGCTTGCTCTTGGAATCTTTTCAGAAGCTGAGACTGACGAACAGTGCCAGAGAAGAGCAGCATCACATCCTAGGGTCATCTCTACAGTGTTGTGCAGTCAGCCCTGACTGGAAAAAAGTACATTCTTTTTAGCAGCAAGAGTGAACTGCTGCCTCCTTCAGAAAGGGTGGGTTTTGGAGAGTAGGCGTTTTAAAGGACTTCAGGAGGTGCCAGCCAATTTGGAGCCTGGGAAAACTTTGTGTCTACAGTGGATTAAAAATGCTATCTTAGAATTTCAGGCCAGCTTTCAGCAATCTCAACCTTTCAAAGGCCAGGCAGCAGCTGTCCCGAATACGATGCCAATCAATGGCTTGAACACCTACAAAGAACTAAATTCAAGCAACAAGAAGCTGTTTCAGCTAAACACACTTTAAAAGCAGATGGATCACAGCATTTCGAGTCTGGCTAAGATGGAATAAGGAGCCGTGTGACATCCCGAGAGACCCAGAAGCACTGAGGAATTTGAAGGAACTGACAGGATGTGACCCTTCTCTCCAGCCAGTGTATTCAGCAGGCAGCCCATAGAAAACAAGGACTTAGCACAATGAGAGTGAGCAAGGCCTGATTTCATCACAGAGTTCACCATCTTGTTTTAAAGGGGGCTTCTGATAGACAAAAGGAGAAAACAATTTCAACAAGGAAAGCAGGTATATGATACTCTCTGTTCTGAAGGAAGAGAAATGGCCTGAGTTCTTGTTGCTGTGACTGCTTAGAGAGGAGGGAAGGACCCCCAAGAGGAGGAATTGAGCCTGTGGGCACAAACCTGCAATGTTTCAAAGCCGATGCGTAGCTGGGGACGACCGTGGCAGCCTGCCGCTGTAAACATCCGACTGAAAGCTCCTCTGAACACCTTACAGCTTCCAGTCAAGGATGTTTACAGTAGCAAAGACTGCCCAGAAAGAACGGAGACGCAGTAAGGCACACCCTACTCTAGTAAGGAGGTGACAGAGGGCTTGCTAATCCGAAGGCCCTCATGCAGGGTCAGAATTACAAATGTTGATTAGGATGCCACTTCTCCTAGACTTTCTCTGGCTGGCTATTAATACAGGCTGGGATGGGGAGAATGGTTGTCACTGAATAACTACTTCTAAGGATAATATACTATGAACTAATTCATTAAAAATAAAGTTTCATATAACAAAGCAAGCAGCACAAGGCCCAGCTTTGCTCCTGTGAGATTCTGCCACTATTTCCCAAGCGTCTCTACTACACCTAGTGAATCATGCAATCTGCATGCTTAAAACAATGAGCTCTAAAGGACAGAGGTCTATTACAATCACAATTAAGAGCTATACGCACCCAAGGTGCTGAAAAAACAACTAGTGTGACCTTTGGAGAGGGGCAGGCAGAAGAGAGGGGAAGGGAGACATTCACATTCTTTCTTGTGATTGCTTGGAAAACAGCTCAAGTGGTGGTTCTCAAATCTGGTTGCACATTAAAAGCATCCAGAGAGTTTTAAAAGGTACTGATGCCTTGCCTGGGCTCCATCATGAGATTCTGATTCAGCTGATGTGGGGTACAGCCTGGGTGCTGATATTTTTAAAACCCCAACAGGTGATTCTAGTGCGTAGTCAGGGCACTATATAAAGATATAAAGAACCACAATATAAAGGATGAGAAAACACAGTCCATTCACTCCAAATACCACTGTGCACACAGAGAAGCTGTTTCTTAAAAAATCTAAAATCTATAACTTTCTGGGAATATTCTTCCATCCCAGATGAAGAGCTCTGATAGACTTCCTAAGATACCTTGAAATGAGCTTCACTTTACCATTTGTAACTAAAGTCTTTCATTTTCATTTTGTCTATTTTCACTGAAACACCACTTCAGAGGCACTGAGTTAAAAGTATCCAGAGATGAGTAACAGAAGGATATGTTCAGAATGAATCTGGTCTAGAAACGAGGAGCAAAAGGAATAGCAAATGATTTGTGCTGAGAGAGGAGAAGGAGCGTATCTGACACCAGTATGCAAAGTGCTCTTCAGTCAGCAGCAACTGCAATGCCTTCACAGCTCACCTGACGCTTTGGAGGTTTCAGTTCATCTCTTGGAACAATATCGATGAGAAAATCAAACTGATCAAATTTTGTAATTGCCATGGCGATATCATTTCTCTGTAACAAAGAAAAGTGGTGTGAAAAATTAGCCTGGGGAGAAACTAGTTCACTTGGCTTTATACCCTCCAAGTAAGGTAAGATGAGTTTTAAGCCAAACTAAACACCCATGGGCAAGTCTACAGCTGAAATAAGCACAGCCAAACTCATATACTTTAAATGATCAGACCTGGTGGACAATTATCAACAAAAAAGAAAGAGATACATGTAACTCACACTCTAAAATGGGATATCTGAGCCTCCAACCACTGCTACTCCTGCTTGATCCTCTCCTCGCGATTTTTAAATTATAAACTTAGTAATCTCAATTAGTAGGTTTCTGGTCATTCTGTGGGTTAGCAAAGTTAGGTTTATAATCCTTTTAAGGCCCTAAATAATATTTTCCCTTTGGTTCACAAGTAGTTATAATCTATTTTGGATTTCTTAGGTAAAATCCTAATTCAACAACTTTTTGCAACATTTTCAAGTCACTGGATCTGTATACACTAAGTTCTCACAAGCTACGGTTTTTATTTGGGAATTCTCAATTGCAATGCTTAAACCATGGGTTTATCATTGCAGTTTTGAATTCCCAAATAAAAACCGTAGCTTAGGAGAATTCTGGTATTCATAGTCTGTGCTATGAACAGCAGCAGGAGAGGTCAGACAACATAGGAGTCAGATGGCTAATGATACTGAAACCAAGACCTGCTCTAATGGGGGTTTCTCTCCAAGTGTGATACTTCCTTTCTTTGAATAATAAAATTTAAAGATTTTTACTAAAACCCAACATATTATGTATGTTAAGATCTGTGTACTTTACTAAAGATTTAAAGCAAAAGGAAAAACAATAAGAAAAAACACTGAACTCTAGTGAATGATATGCATGTTAAAGTATTTGGGCAAAGTAAACTTTACAATGCACTTAAAAACAGACTACTTGGAAGGATGGATAGAGGGATAAATAGATATGGGAATAAAATAAGCATAGTAAAATGTTTATGGTAGAATCTAGGTTGTAAGTTTACAGGTATTCACTGTAAACTTTGCTTATGTTTGAAATTTTTTATAATAAAATGCTGGGGAAAATGTCAACATACTAACAGAAATCCTTAGCAAACTCTATATACCACACCTTAAAAGGTGACTCATCAGACAAAACAGGAGAGGATGGAAATTTTCTTTTTTTCTCTTTCCCTTGTATCTGTGATGGCCCCAAGCCTCTGAAATGCAAAACTCTAGTCCACCCTTCTTGCCAACCACCGGCTTGATGATAAACCCTTCCAACTGAAGCAGGGCCCATCTTAAGACTGCCAGGACTCATTTAAGATGACTACAATATAGTGTCGCATTTTTTGATGTCACCTACTCAATCTATCTAAATGGCTCATTTACCGATGGAATAAAAGAGGAAAAAGAAAAATAATAAACATCTCCAACATATAACAAAATGTTCTAGAGTATTTTGGAAACATAGATATACTTAAGTTGGTCTTCCTAAAATTTTTACTTTGCTTTTTAAATTCCCTGAGGCAGGAGGATTGCTTGAGCCAGGAGTTTCAAGACCAGCTCTGGGCAACATAGTAAGGCCTCATCTCTACCACAACAACAAAAATTTTAAGCCAGATATGGTGGCACGCACCTGTAGTCTCAGCTACTTGGGAGGGTGAGGTGGGAGGATCACTTGAGCCCAGGAGGTCGAGGCTGCAGTGAGCTGTGATTGAGCCACTGCACTCCAGCCTAGGCCACAGAGTGAGACCCTGTCTCAAAAAATAAAAAAGGAATATAGAAAGTTCCTTCTAGCCCTTTCCAGTCAACATCCTTCCCCACACTCCCCTAAATCTGGGCATCCACAACTCTGATTTCTATCACCATAGGTGGTAGTAATAATGCATTGTATCATGCACTATGTAATTTTTTCCCTCTGGTTCCTTTTGTTAACATAGTATCTTTGAGATTTATCCATGTTGTATGGAGCAATGGTTTGTTTCTTTTTATTGCTGAGGAGGAATCCATTTCATTAATACCTCAGAATTTGTTTATATATTCCTATATTGATGGACACTTGAGTTGTTTCCAGTTTTGGGGTAGTATAAAGAAGGTTGTTAAGAGCGTTTTTATATAAGAATGGCTACAGTTCTTTTGGGTACATACCTAGGAGTGAAATGGCTGGGTTACAGAGTAGGGGGATATGTTTATTACAAAGTGCCAAAAGGTTTTCAAAGTGACTGTGCCACTTTACATTCTGACCAGTAATATATGAGTTTCAGACACTCCACTTCCTCACCAACTGTGGTATTGTCAGTCTTTTTTATTTTAGGTATTCTAGTGGGTATAAACCAGTATCTCACTGCGGTTTTAATTTGTATTTCCCTGACAACTAATGATGTTGCACACCTTCTCGTGGGTTTATCGGGCATTTGTTTATCTTTTTTTCTGAAGGTCTGTCCAAGTGTTTTGCCTATTTTTTTTTTTTTTTTTTTGAGACAGAGTCTCACTCTGTCACCCAGGCTGGAGTGCAGTGGCTTGATCTCAGCTCACTGCGAGCTCCGCCTCCTGGGTTCAAGTCATTCTCCTGCCTCAGCCTCCCGAGTAGCTGGGACTACAAGCGCCCGCCACCACGCCTGGCTAATTTTTTATGTTTTTAGTAGAGATGGGGTTTCACTGTGTTGGCCGGGATGGTCTCGATCTCCTGACCTCATGATCCGCCCGTCTCGGCCTCCCAAAGTGCTGGGATTACAGGCGTGAGCCACCGTGCCCGGCCACCTATTTTATTTTCTAATCTGAACTGATCTTGAAGGGAGTTTTAACTGGATCTCTCTGGATCCACAGACTAACTTCAAGGCAGCATAAATTCTGTGACTTCAACATGCATCTCATTTATTGGAGTTCAGTATTTTTTCCTTTTTTTGCTTTAAAACTTTCATATAGTAATGTACACAAATCCTAACTTTAAGCTGCATTGACAAGCTGTACTAGAACGAAGGCTTCCCACAGATAAGGATTTTTGTCTGTTTTGTGTATCGTTAATCCCCAGAGCCTAGAAAAGTGCCTGGCACACATTGTGGGTGTTCAGTTAAGTATTTTTAGAATAAATGAATAAACACATGTATTTTCTACTTTGCAGGTAAAGGGAAACAAGAAGAGAAAACAATTTATTTTCTTGGCTTCACTGTTAAAATAGTGCCACTGTTTTATACTTGTTACACCCTTCTTCTTGTATCTGGGAAACCTTTCCTCTAAAAGCCAGGGCTTGGCTATAGGGTGAGGGTTTCTAGAGTCAATGACCAAGGGCTCTGCATACAGTATGTATGTGGATTTGCTGGGTTAAAATTAAAATTAAAAAAAAAAAGAAGAAGAAGGAGAAGAAGAAGAGGACTCCCAGGAAGGCAGACAAGGAACAAAAAGCCTAATGAAGCTAGTGAGACCGCTGATACTTCCTGGAACTGTCCTTTCCTGGAATCTCTCAAGGCTCCCAAGCAGAAGTTGTTTACGTCTGGAAACAGATAAATACTCTATCACTTGAGCCTCTGTTTATAGTGAGGGCTCACCAAGGGAAAAGAGTTCAGTCACTAAGCTGTGAAAACCAGGAGAGAATTAAGATTTTTGGTGGAGAAACACAATCACCATGGCTAGAAAATATGTCTGCCTCCCAACAGTGGAGATGCCAATTACATGTCAGCTTGATAGAGGCCTAAAGAAGAACAATCTTTGGTCCAAAGCCACGCAGGAGAACAGGCAAAGGTGGCTGCTTACCCCAATTTTCCTAATCTAAGTCTGCAATAATACCTGTAGAGTCCGGCGCTTGTTATCTTCTGTGTGAATCCAGGCTCGAAGAGTCAACTCTGTGATAAAAATCTGGGCTGCCTTGGCAAAGAGTACAGGCGCTTCTGCACTGATCATCTGTAACAGACACAGGCCCTCCCTGTCAATCACCAGCAAGTCATTCAAACCAGTCTGTCTCTTGCCTCATTGCCTGGCATGGGACTATGGGGCAAGGGTCAAAAAATGAGGTGGTATGCTCAAGAGATTCCAAGGTAAAATAAATCCATGAGTAGGAATAAAGCAGGGAACAGGGAGAAAGAATACTTATTTAGCACCTACCATGTGCCAAACCTTGTGCAAGGTGCTTTCTTACCCTTATAATAGCCTTTCAAAGAAACTAGGGTTTAAGAGAGATGAAGTGACTTGCCCATAGCCATAGAGCCAGTAAGTGGCAGGGTTTAGGTTCTAATCTAAGGAGAAACAATATGGGGAAGGAGAATGAGCTTGAAAGCCAATGGATTTGGGTAAAACTGCAGGCTTCCCATCCTTTCGGGCTTTGTTTTTCACACACTGAAAAAGAGGATAACCTTCCAGTTTTATTGTGGCAATCAAATGAGATAATATATGTACCCAGCACAGGACTTGGCACATAGGAAGTGCTCAAGCCATATAAACTTGATGTGTCTGATTTCAAAGTTGAAGCTCTTGGTCAAACAAGGTTCTAAACCTTTGGTGAGGTAGTCTGTGCAGGCTACAATCACAGAAAGAGCTCTGGAGTTAAAGCAGCAGCAGATGGGAAATGCGATCTTGGTCCTAGCACTCTGGGTGAGTCACTTAACCTTTGTGTCTATTTCCATTATCTGTAAAACGGAACTGATAATTCTTGTTATATCAAATCTCACAGGGCTACTGTGAGGAAGAAAGGAGCTAATAAAAAGGAAAATTGCTATCAATTGTTAGCTTTCTGTGAAAATACAAAAGACTATTAATTTTGAGTGGTAAAGAGACAGAGTTCCTCTTTCTCTGAGATCTATAATGGAGATGGACTCCTAGGAATACAGAAATGGCCAAGCCCAAGCAAACCCTCTCACAAGTGTTATTCATGTAAAAGAAACTCACAGGTCAAAAAGTTAGAGCAGGTTGAATATCATTATCAAAAATTTCTTAAGAGTTCAGATCAACAAACTATATGTTATAAGATGCTAAGATGATGGCACTGTCCTGTTGACTTGATGATACATGTATATGCTACACTGTGAAAGGAACTGTGAGATACTGGCTGGGCATGGTGGCTCATGCCTAATCCTAGCACTTTGGGAGGCCGAGGCTGGAGGACTGCTTGAGTCCAAAAGTTCGTGACTAGCCTGGGCAACACAGTGAGATCCTGTCCCCTGCTCCAAAAAAACATTAAAAATCAGCCAGGCATGATGGCATGTGCCTATAGTCCCAGCTACTTGGGAGGCTGAGGTGGGAAGATCACTTGAGCCTGGGAGGTAAAGGCTACAGTGAGCCATGATTATGCCACTGCCCTCCAGTCTGGGTGACAGAGTGAGACCCTGTCTCAAAAAGAAAGAAAAGGCCAGATGCGGTGGCTCACATCTGTAATCCCAGCACTTTGGGAGGCCAAGGCAAGCAGATCACCTGAGGTCGGGAGTTCAAGACCAGCCTGGCCAACATGGCGAAACCCCGTCTCTACAAAAAATACAAAAATTAGCTGGGTGTGATGGCAGGCGCCTGTAATCCCAGCTACTTGGGAGTCTGAGGCATGGGAATCGCCTGAACCTGGGAGGCAGAGGTTGCGGTGAGCCAAGCTCACACCACGCACTCCAGCCTGGATAACAGAGTAAAACTCTCAAAAAAAAAAAAAAAAAAAAAGAAAAAGAAAAAACAAAAACCAACAACTACTATTTTTTCAACATCTAAAAAACCCAGGATATCCTTAATTTTCAGGATGATCCATATAGTAACCAAAACTGCTCAATTTTGGCTCACTTAACAATTTTAAACAGGAATCAAATAACAAAGCAACAGACAGTAATTTTTTGTGTGTTCTTGTTTAATTAAACTTTGAGCTCTAGAGCAATGAACAATAACCTACCCATCACTCAGCTTCAATAAGAAATAATAAAAATGAATGTGAATTCACCTTCACATCTTCATCCAGTTTCATAATCTTCTTAATACGAGCCAATGGGAGTTCCTGCACTCGGAAGTCTTTCTGAAATGAACAACAAGAGATGCATAAATGGTGGGCACAATCAACAGTGTGGCAAAGCATGACAGGCAGCAGGAAGCACTCTGGCTTAATCCTTCTCTTCAGGAAGTCGGGAGAGGAGGTACAGATGAAATGAAGGAAATACAAGCTCCAGAGCAAAATTCTTCTTAACATATGCAGGTCTTCAAAGAATTAGTGGGCTTTAGAAAAAGCTTAGGATGGCCTCTAACAGTGCCCTCATGAAACAGAGCCCCAAGCAATATCTGGTTTTTTTGGTTTGTTTGTTTTCGTCAGCACATAAAGGGACATTATGAGCGCCTTCACTTTTTTTCCAAGTAAGTTTACCAGTCTGCAATATGCAGATTAAAATGAGATTTCTGTCTCAGGGGTATTCCTCTAAAGTTCCAGTTCTTTCTTCCATTCAGTGATAAACTGTAACAGTAACGCCGGGGCACTTGACCACAGTGACCCACAGTTCTTCACAGATGACAGTGGCTATTTCTGATATTTGCACTAACTTGTCAACAGAAATTGGGGAGGAGAGCTCCTTTCCCATCACAGTAGCAATGGCCTTGTCTCCAAAATTTGTTTCAAGTGGGGGTAGAGGAGTACAGAAAAAGGATGAGGGTGAATTTATCAGCTGCCTTTTAGGAACAGCTGTGTTATTTTTTCTTAAACAAGCCTGGAGTGGGGTAGGACCATATAACTTCACTGTGGATATAATTTAGTGAAGGGCTTTTGACCAGCACTACTCAATAATTTGAGATTTAAGCCCTTTTTTGTTTTATTTGGAAACTACTGGTATTTAAATGCATGCCCAATGATGGATGCAATTCTAGGAAAAAAAATCAATTTTGAGTTTCTGAGCTGCAATGAAGAGAAAGGTGCAAAGGCAGATATTAGCTAAAATCAGCAAAATCTTTACTGGGACTAGGTGTCAAATGATTGACTCTATAAGTGGTCTGAAATATGACTCACTAAACCCAATATGCTCACCTGGAAATTTGCATCATCACATTATGGAAGAAGCAGCTATTATTTGAGATTAGATGTAATTAACAAGCATCAGTGAACTTTCTTTTCCAAGACCAACAGAAAATCTCAAATATATGTCAAAAAAGTTATTTTGGAAAACCATCAACAGTCTTCCCAGAACCTATTTTACGATTACAGAAAGAAGAGAATCTATTAGGATAAAATGTACACCAAGACATCTAATTTTTCCACGCAAACCCAACAAGCTGCTTGGCTACCACTCTGCTCTACAAACTTCAAACACCAATTTTTCATCTTTTCCTTTTCCAAATTAGGTATCAACATTTTCCATGAAGCCTCTACTAAAACTAACCCTGGAGTAATGGGGACTTAGAAGTTCAGTTTATTAAAATTTCAACAAAAGGAAATAGTAGCACAGATTCATTCTATTCTTGTTTTTCCCCTTGCTCTTTCACTTACTGATTCAAGCAACTCAACTAATAGTAAATGTATGATACCTACTACTATGCAAAAATACACATGTAGGCCAGGCACGGTGGCTCATGCCTGTAATCCCAGCACTCTGGGAGGCTGAGATGGGAGAATCGCTTGAGGCCAGGAGTTTGAGACCAGCCTGGTCAACATAGTGAGACCCCATTACTATTTAAAAAAGAAAGAAAGAAAAAATACACATCTACTCCTGCCTTTGAAAAGCATGTGGTTTGTCAGAGACAGTCACATGAAAACATTATAATCCCCTATCCAAAACTGGAAGGGAGGGATATAAAATCCCACGGGGACACAAAGAAGGACACGTTGCTAGGGACAGCTAGCAATGTGGGGCTGGAGGGAGAGTGAAGGATTGGAAATGTTCCACAAAGGGGATGACATCTGAACTGTGTCTAAGGGATTCTGGGAATTTGCCTGTTGAAAAAGTATGAGAATGTTATTCAGACAGAACAACAAAGACAGAGATACAAAAAAATCAGTCTATTTAAGTTTTAGATCTATGACCTGAGTACAGAGGGGAGAAGCAGGAAAGAGGATACTGGGTTGGAGCCAGACCCTTAAGAGATTTTTTTTAAAGTTTAATCCCAGAAATCAACCACTGGTCTTCCTTCTTGTGTGGCATATCACAGAAGATGATGACACTACACAGAAATGCCAAAGAGAATGCTAGGGATGATCATTCCTTTGGAAAGCCTCCCAGGCTGATACATACAGCACAAGATGATCATAGATTTAGCTCTCTTGCAAGTGTGCTCTCATTTGGCTTGGTTTTAAATATAATTTGTACAAGAATGTTCCATGATTACTGAACTAAAGCCCAAAGCTGATAAAGACCTCTTTCCCCAAATGGAAAGAGTAAAATATTACTCCTTCAATTTATATTCTTTAATCAAAAGCAACAAAAGTCAAGGATCAAGAGATCATTCCCGTCTTGCAGAGATGTAAAATGCGGCAGAAATTTATAATAAGCTCTGCTTTAATCTCCTTCCCAAAGCTTTTATTTGTGACAAACTATTTTTCCATGTTCCTGAAACCTTGAGATCTCAAGGAGCAGTGTGTAAAAGTGGATCTTGAGGTGTGTGTATGGTTCAACCCTGTTGACAATCACCCTGTTTTCTATTAATCCTATTGTAGCTTTCTAGTTACATGTAAGGATTTACCATAAGCTTGTTGGAAAGGGGAGGCCCTCTACAAACAGTAGACTGAGGCCCCTAAAACTTGGATTCATGCTCCCCACTTCACTGGCTACTATGTAACTGAAGGGAGTAACATTTAACTCCTTAACTCCTTCTCCTGATACTGATCCAACTGGAAGAACAGCTGACACATACTTTTTTCCCCCCTACTTTTGGGAGTTACATCAGTAAGGAGAAGAGCAGATTATCTTTCAGAACATTCTCATGCTCCTGACAACTACTAAAGAACTATGTTAAAAATGCTGTCATCTGAAACTGCTGCATTTCAAGACAAATTCAAAACTGAATTCACTCAATGAGAGTTTGGAGCCAAAGAAAAGTCAGCGGATCTTGGGCTGCACTAAAGAACATCCAGAGTTTCAAATAATAAAGAGAAATCTTTTCCAGGCCTACCCAGTCAGGCACTCTGGCAAGTCAAGATTCTCAACCCTTGTGAAAGCAATGATTCTCAATCTTGGGGCTGCACATTAGAATCACCGGAAAAGCTTTTGAAAAACAAGATGCCTGAGCTCTCTCCTGGAGACCAGCTGAATCAGGAACTCTAGGTCAGTGGTCCCCAACCTCAGGAACCAGTTTTGTGCAAGACAATTTTTCCAAAGATGGGCAGGGTGGGCATTAGATTCTCATAAGGAGTGTGCTACCTAGATCCCTCACACGTGCAGTTCACCATAGGGTTCACATTCCTATGAGAATCTAATGCCACTGCTGATCTAACAGGAGGGGGAGCTCAAGCGGTAATGCTTGCTCACTGGCTACTGACCTCCTGCTGTGCAGGCCAGTTCCTAGGTTCCTAACAGGCCATGGACCCATACAGGTCTATGGCCCAGGGCCTGGGGACCCCTGCTCTAGTGGGTAGAGTACTGGCATCATGTTTTTTGAAAACTCCCCTGTGACTATGATCCAAGCGAGAGTTAAGGACTACTGCTTTATAGCCCTGCTACTCAAAGTAAGGTCCTTGGAGCAGCAATGGTTATCACCTAGGAACTCAAAAGAAACAGAATCCCAGGTTCTGTTCCTAACCTACTAAATCAGCATCAATATTTTAAGAAGATCCTCCCTCATGTGGTTCATACAGACAATAAAGTTTGAGAAGCACTGCTCTACAGGAGTGGCTCACACAGCACAGGTCCTGTTTTGTAACAGTCCACCAACCTTCACCACCAAGTTCTTGTTTAAACAGTTATCTGATTTGATTGTGATGTTAGAAAGTCATCACCCAATCAGAAGGCACTGAGGAATGAAAAGATGAAACTGCCAATTAAAAGAAAGTGACCTAGGCACTGAATTACAGTAAACTGAAGGCTGAATGGGATGTAAAGTAGTAAGTACAGAATTAGATTTTTCTTTTCGAAATTCAGTTTCGTTGCCCAAATGCCCCCAACTCACCTCCGTAAAGACAAAGTTAGCTTTCTCTTTCCTATTTTCAAAGAGGCCCAGTGGGGCAAAACTCAACATGAAGAAGTCTGTTATATATTGTTCCCAGAGCTCTGCTGTGCAGGAATATAGTATTTTACACAATCACTCTGGGAAACAATCATCTTGGTATGGTTTTTAATTAATTTCAATCCGAGCTGAACACCACCTGGATTTACAGACAATTACAGAGCTTTTAAGAGTCAAGAGAACAAGCTAAAATGAAAGATATAAATTGCTTTTACAGGACTCAGACCAAAAGGACTTGAGGCCAGTGTTTCCAACACATCATGAAATACATCATCTAGCAAACTTTAATTACTTCTTTTTGGAACAATTTGTGTCCCAGTCTGAGATCACACCTTATGAATATTCTCATAAGTTTTACTTATGATTGGGTAGTTTAAACATAAGGAATTTTTTTTCTTTTTTTAATCTGTTAGATATTTTGAGGTGTCAACCTAAGAGGCTCTGGCACATCTGAGGAAGTCTAGTTTTAAGTATTGTTGAGTTCTGGAAAGGCACAGATTAAATGCTAAAATGTTTGGTCATGTTACACAGGCAGCAGCACAGTCAGAGAAGCAGATGCCATCACGTGTTGTGCTTCTGAGAAGAGGGGAAAATAAGAGTCATACAAAGGGAAAAAAATTACCTTGACTTTACTGGATTGCATTCTTACTCAAACATGGAACTGATATTGCTTTGCACTAAACCTGAAGTGGAGTCTAATTTGTTCAATATTTATTGTGCACCTACTATATGCCAGACATTGTTCTAAGCACCTGATATAAAAGACATAGCTTGGCAGAGGTCTAGGAGTCCCTTTCAAAAGTACATAGGAGAATTTTAATTAGTCACCAATACAAGAATGACTAAAGACAACTTCCTCTTTACTTTTCTTTCTCTTCACACACAAAACCTGAACCAAAACTGAATCCCTCAAAGTAATTCTCTTTTAACTTCCGATAGACTAAAAGTCTAGGTACTAAAATTTGGTCAGCATCATGATCAGCTTTGTTGGCAATCAAACTTGTAAACCAAGCAGGTTACAAATCAAAGCCCAGGGTCTTGAAGAGGTATTTGCACACTCATGTAACACAGTAGCACTATTCACAATAGCCAAGAGGTGGAACCAACCCAAATGTCCATTAACAGATGAACAGATAAACAAAATGTGGTATATACATACAACAGGGTATGATTCTGCCTTTAAAAAAAAGGATAGGCCAGACATGATGGCTCACATCAGTAATCCCAGTAATTTGGAGGGCCAAGGCAGGAGGACTGTTTGAGGCCAGGAATTTGAGACCAGCCTGGGCAACAGTGACACCGCCATCTCTACATAAGATTTTTTTTTAAATTAGCCAGGTCGGTGGTGCACAACTAGAGTCCTAGCTACTTGGGGGACTGAGGTGACAGGGTCCCTTGAGCCCAAGAGTTCAAGGCTACAGTGAGCTATAATCCTGCCACTGCACTCCAGCAAAGAACAAAAGAGTAAGACCCTGTCTCTTTAAAAAAGAAAAAAACAAAGGCCACTCATGGTGGCTAACACCTATAATCCCAGCACTTTGGGAGGCGGAGGTGGGAGGATTGCTTGAGCCCAGAAGTTTGAGATCAGCCAGGGTAATATGGTGGGACCCTGCCTCTACAGAAAAATACAAAAATTAGCTGGGTGTGGTGGCACGCACCTGTAGTCTCAGCTACTCAGGAGGCTGAGGCAGGAGGATTGCTTGAGCCTGAGAGGTCGAGGCTGCAGTGAGCCATAATTGTACCACTACACTCCAGCCTGGAAGAGAGAGTGAGACTCTATCTCCAAAAAGGAAAAAAAAGAAAAAAGATAAAAAAGGAAGGACATCCTGTCACATGCTTCAACAGACATGCTAAGTGAAATAAGGTAAGACAAAAAGACAAATACATATGTTGTTCTGCTTACAATGGGGTTACATCCTGATAAAGCTATTGTAAGCTGAAAAGATCCTAAGTTGAAAATGCATTTACTACACCTAGCCTATCAAACATCATAGCTTAGCCTCGCCCACCTTAAATGTGCTCAGAACACTTACATTACCCTAAAGTTGGGCAAAATAATCTAACACAAACCCTATTTTATAGTAAAGTGTTGAGTATCTCATAATTTATTGAATAGTAGATTGAAAGTGAAAAACAGAATGGTTGAATGGGTACTCAAAGTACAACTGCTATTGAATGCACATCACCTTCTAACCACTGTAAAGTGGAAAAAACATTAAGTAGAATCATCATAAGTAGGGGACTGTACGATATGATCCCATTTCTATGAGGTATCAAAAATAGTCAAATTCATAGAAATCAGAATGGTGGTTGTTTAGAGAGTGCACAGTTTCAGTACTGCAATATGAAAAAATTCTCAAGATAAGTTTCATAACAATGTGATTATACTTAACACTTCTGAACTGTACATTTAAAAATGGATAAGGGGTGAAATTTTATGGGTTTTTTTACTACAACTAAAAAAAAAAAATCAAAGTCCAACAAAACAGAAAAGTTAAGTGCTGAGCTTAAACCTCCAGAGTTTATCTGGCCACTTGCCTAATCCTGGATTTATGCCTCTCGGCTCAAGCTGCAGCACAGACTTGCTCGATCGGCCTAGTCCCACCACACCCCAGGAGAGCATTCATTTTACACCAAGCTGACCCCAGCACCAAAAGCTGATAAGCATAATCATGAGATTATCCCCCTAAAATATGAACAAAACACCCCATTTCTGACTTTACAGTTTCATTTCTCCCTACCTTCTCTTTTATATCTGAGACAGTTTAGATAACTACTACCTTAGACTGCAGAAGAGGAACAATGACTTTTCAGTGGAAATCCACTCTGAACCCAGGCCAGTCTGAGAAAGGCCAAGCCAAGTTCAACTGCCGAAAACTCTTCATATAAACAAATGTGACCCAGAGGTATATCCAAAACATGAATTACTTTTCATCCCTGAAGTCAGTGGGCATTTATCATAATAAGTTATTTCATTCCATTAATTACTTGTTTATTAGCCTGTCTCATCAGAATATATGTTCCATGAGTGCAATGATCCTGTCTGTCTGGTTCAGTGCAATGATCCTGTCTGTCTGGTTCATTACCATATCCACAGTATCTAGCATAGCCTTAGTTGGTACATAGTAAGTATTTGTTGAGTGAATGAATAAACTGACATTGTAACGTCAGAAGGTAAAGGTCACTAACCCTAAGCAACTGCAACATTAATTCTACATCAGGAAGGAATCCAGTGTCTGCTCTGCCAGGATACTAGTATTTCCAGGGCAGGAATGACATAGCCAACACAGGGAACTCCTTCAGTATGTACTAAAATGACACCTTAATGAACATTCTTCATTAAGGACATGACAACTGTATTATGAAAATACTCCAACTCTAACCTGCCTCACCTTCCACTACCACTCTCACACCACATACTTACTCCTTCCCTCAACCTCCACTAAACACACAGTAACCTTCAGGCACTCTGAATGTCTTGATGTTCCTCTAACTATAAGGCCCTCCCCACTGGGCCTCCATGCCTTTATGCATGCCCTTGTCTTTGCCCTCCCATCCTTCACATCTGGTGAACGCTTACTCATATTTTAAGACTCAACAAAAATGTTCCCTTTACTTAAACCCTTACCTAACTCAACCAGAAACAAACAAGCACTATGTCCTTTGTGCTCCTTGACTTTTACTGCTTCAGGACTCATCAGTGTGCCTGATTCAGTAAGTACTTAATAAATACCTACTGACTAAATGAGTCTGATTGTAATTACTAGATTGTAAGCTCCTCACAGGTCAAGGTTATATTTAATTATTGTGAGTCAGTAGTTCTCAACAAGGGATGATTTTTGCCCACAGGCACATTTCCCAATGTCTGGAGACATTTTTTGGTTGTCACAACTCGGGGAGGGGTGCTACTGGCATCTAGTGAATAGAGGCTAGGGGTGCTGCTAAACATGCTGTTATGCATAAGACGGCCCCTCAGAACAAAGAATTATCTAACCCAAACTGTCAATAATGCAGCTGTTGAGAAACAGTGATCAAAGTGTATCTTTTTAACACCTGGAAAGAGTTCCTGGCTCACAATAGATTTGTTGTTGAATAAATTGTCCAATATTTTTTACCAAGTTCTAGAAATGTGGCAGGACCATTAAATCAGGCCTAAAAAATTGAGCTAGAGCTACAGAAGGAAGATGAGATCTCTGTTTTCCTACAAGTCCTAAAGGATATGCCTCACATTAAACTACCTCCAAGTCAAAGTATCCACTACACACCACATGCTTATGGAAGACCACTGAGATATAAAAGACACTCTTGCAGTTACCTCACAGAAGGCAAATGTTTTCATTTTCCTACCCACAGGTCAGGGATGAACTATGCCTCGTAAATGTGCTTGAAATTAAAAATGCTTTAGTCTGAGTTTTGGTTAATTTCCCATAGCCCTCATACTCTTTAAAAGTTTCTAATAAAAGTTTCTCATTCTTCCTCACCACTGTTAAATTCCGGATTTCTTCCATGACCCGAGGCCAGAATGACTGTAGGCTTTGCTGGGCATCACTGCTGCTAGTACCACCAAATCCTCCTTCTGTGGACATCGTGACAACTGAAAATAAACATATACATAAGACACATTAGAAACAATAAAGTCAGACTTTCTGTCCAGATTAGGCATTTGTATCTTTGTGGATGTTTTTATGAATCTATTCAATTTTTCAGTTTGATAAGGTATGTAATTATACTAAAAAGATTTTAACACAGACTTACATCTTAAAAACATTGGTAGGAAAGTTTTTCCTTCTATCTAGCTTATACCATAGAGACTGCTAAAGAGCTCCAACTAGAAAATCAAAAGTTGCTAGAAATGTAAGCTGAAATCCTAATGTTAATCAAGGACTTTTAACTTCTTACATGGGTGTGGGGTGAGGAAAGTATTTTGTTGCCCTAGTCTAGCCCATAATTTTCAATGCCATTCCCTCCAAAGCTTTTTCAAATTCTCTGTGGCTTCTCATACTCCATGCCACAGCCTTCAGCAAATTTTTATATTAAAAGTCCCCAGTGATTAGTACTGTACAGAAATGTAAACCCAGAGTCTTAAAAGATAAAAGCCAAGCTGGGCACAATGGCGCATGCCTGTGGTTCCAGCTACTCAGGAAGGTGAGGCAGGGGGATCACTTGGGCCCAAGAGTTCCAAGACAGCCTGGGCAACACAGCAAGCCTCTGTCTCTTAAAAAAAAGAGTGTGTGTGCTAGGTTTCTTCTTTTGTTTTAGACACTGTGGTCCTGTTTCTCTGGGGCTCCTGATGATGATGATTCCTTCTAATCTCAGGCAAATCTGCCTCAAAGGACATGAGGCCAATAACTGTGTAGGTAACATGAAGCCTCTGAAATGAAACTACTTGCCAGTTCTTCCCGAACCTGAACCATGTTATTAAACATAAAGCCTAACACAGCACACTGGCAACCGGAAGCCTTAAAGACAGTTAAAAAAAACAAAGCAGAGGCCAGGTGCAGTGGCTCACACCTGTAATCCAAACACTTTGGGAAGTCGAGGCAGGTGGATCACCTGAGATCAAGAGTTCGAGACCAGTCTGGGCAACATGGTGAAACCCCATCTCTACTAAAAATACAAAAATTAGCCGGGCATGGCGGTAGATGCTTGTAATCCCAGTTACTCGGGAGGCTGAGGCAGGAGAATCACTTGAACCCAGGAGGCAGAGGTTGCAGTGAGCCAAGATCATGCCATTGCACTTCAGCCAGGGCAACAGAGCAACACTCCATCGCAAAAAAAAAAAAAAAAGAAAAAAAGAATTAAAATTAGGATACAGAAAGAGGGCTAGAACCTGCATTTAGTCAACTGCTTTGTGACAAAGGAGGGAAGATATGAATAAGGATCCCCATATCAGCTATAACTGTATAACTGTAGATAACACAGGTTGAGTATCCCTTACGTGAAATTCTGAAATGCCTGGGACCAGAAGTGTTTGGGATTTTGACTTTTTTTTTTTTTTTTTTTTGAGACAGAGTTTCGCTCTTGTTGTCCAGACTGGAGTGCAGTGTTGCAATCTCAGCTCACTGCAACCTCCGCCTCCCAGGTTCATGTGATTCTCCTGCCTCAGCCTCCCAAGCAGCTGGGATTACAGGCATCTGCCACCAAGCTTGGCTAATTTTTTGTATTTTTAGTAGAGATGGGGTTTCATCATGTTGGCCAGGCTGTCTCAAACTCCTAACCTCAGGTGATCCACCTGCCTCGTCCTCCCAAAGTGCTTGGATTACAGGCGTAAGCCACCAAGCCCAGTCCATTTTTTTTTTTTATTTTGGAGTAAGTTTGCATTATACTTACTGGTTGAGCATCCCAAATCTGAAAATCCAAAATCCAAAATGAATATTTCCTTTGAGCGTCATGTCAGGGTTCAAAAAGTTTCGGATTTTAGATTTTCAGAGTAAGGATACTCAACCTGTATTATAATGTCTTAAGCGCTTATCTGGCAAATATTTAAGTGCAAGAACAGTTTAAACACAAAGAATGGAGAAATTTAGTGCTCTCCTAAGAATTTCTATTCTGAGGAATTATTTGAAAAGGTTTAACATACCAGTGACGGGATGCTGGCAGAGAACTATGTGAGTCATTAGGAACTAATTCTGAGGGGCTGAAAGCAAGCACCAAAGCCAGTTGTCACATGACTAGACTTGTTACTTTCCAGGCTCCATGTGGATACACACTGAGCAGAACACCCTATCACAGCAGAATGGAATGAAAGCTGACAACTCTAGGTTTAGCCTGTGGGGATATCCAATTCACTGTTAAATGTTTACAGGTCTCTGATTTTTTTTCTTTTTTTTTCTTCCCTTTCCCTTCTAAAGGAAATAATGAGGGGAAAGAAAGGGAAGGAAAACAAAAATACAAGCTTCAAAGCAGATTTCATTCTGGTGTAATGACATTAGTGGGTGATGATGTAATGGGAATAGGTTTGGAGCCAATTTCTTGTGGTGGAGGCCTACAAACAGCTGAACAGAAATTCTTGTACCTGGGATACAATATGATCTTGGAGTTTCTGAAGGGAGTTAAAGGGAAGTGTTCGATCACAGTTGAAAATGACTAGATAAAATCTTAAGTCCTAAATAACCAAGTAAGACCCCTGCATTTTCATTTATCACCACATACACATGGCCTATATGCTACTCTCTTAGATACACTAAGAACAACAACAACAACAAATTAAGGTAATCTAAAGTAGTTTAGTTATTTATCATTATTAATAGTTTCCTATAAGGTACTCATGAAAGTGAAGAGAGTGACTCAATTTAACCTTTTTAAATGGGGCAAACAAAAATATCTTTCTGGAAATAAAAACAATTATCAAAAAACTTCAAAAGAATCTAACCTTTTATTGCATGGGTCCCTGGACAGGCCTCATCTTGGCACAATCTGCCATGCAAACTGCTAAGGTCAAAGAAGAAAGATGCGCAATTGCCAGGATGATATCTCTGTATACTTGCTAATGGATGAGTAGGTTTAGCTGGAGTACAAAGATCTGTACAATTTAAAAGTCTGGTAACAAATTCTGGCTGTCTTCTGATATCCCCCCAAAACATTACAAAGGTACACAATTCAAAAAGCACGTCTAGAACCATCTGTGCAGTCTGTTTTTAAATTTTGAACTGTCCCAACTACGGATGTGCAGGCATGATCAGCCTCCAAACATCTGTGTAGTCAACAGATCATGAATCTGTGGCTGGCTCAGAGCCACATGCTGTGGTAGTGGAAGTTAGGTACAAAACAGAAGTTATCAAATTTTTTTGGAACTGAAAATGTATTAAAGGTTAAGTTTTAAAATTGAGAAGCCTATCTCCATTAGGAAATCCCAAATAGGTAAATGCAAAAAATACAAGTCAATAATATCCTTTACATTTTACTGCATCACAGAAGTTTAGGACTGAAAAAAAAAAAGACATAAGGAGACACTCAGGCCCACCTGTTTATAAGATGCTCGCAGCTTTTCTTCAACCTCTGCCCAACCCCAGGTGATTCTATCTTAAGTGGTCAACTGCCTTACATTTGAGGGCCCCCCACTCCAGTTCCGGGAAACTGGCTTAGTGGTAAGACATTCTTTCCCATCTTTGGACAGCTCTAACTGTTCTTCTTTACATTAGGTTTTAGAGTTATGGCCTTTATGGTTTTTCCATCCAGCAAACTCTTTTTATAAATTCCTGACTTCAAAAGACAAAAGTAATCTTCCTTTGAAGGACATAAGATCTTCTCACAAAGAAAAAAGAGAAAAAGGTTTGGAGCATGTTTTCTAACACCTTTGCAGATATTATTAGTAATGTCTCTTAGAAGAACATAAATTGTTAACGTAAATTCCTGGAAAAAGTGAGTACATTTAGTCAAAAGGCTTTCCATAAAGCAGATCCATTCTTTGCATGGAGCTTTAAAAACACCCAACAATTAAAATTATATATATAAAGCAGGCCAGGCGTGGTGGTTCACGCCTGTAATCCCAGCACTTTGGGAGGCCAAGGCTGGTGGATCACCTGAGGTCAAGAGTTCGAGACCAGTCTGGCCAACATGGTGAAACTCTGTCTCTACTAAAAATACAAAAATTAGCTGGCTGTGGTGGCACATGCCTGCAGTCCCAGCTACTCAGGAACCAAGGAGGTGGGGGTTGCAAACCAAGGAGGTGGAGGTTGCAGTGAGCCAAGGTCACACCACTGCACTCCAGCCTGGGTGACAGAGCGAGACTCTGTCTCAAAAATAAATAAATAAATAAATAAGATAGATAGATAGATAGATAGATAGATAGATAGATAGATAGATAGATAGATAGATAGATAAATAAAGCAACCTTAATCACCACCTCTTATCTTAACGCATTAATTGCAAATAAACTGATTTTGCTACAGAAGTCATCCATTTACAACATCTACAAGCCCATGGGTTCATCTTCTAGGCTAATAAGGGAAAGAAAGTATTTAAAAGTAAGAGGAGGCTGGGTGCTGTGGCTTACATCTATAACCCCAACAACTCCAGAGGCTGAGACAGGAGAACCACTTCAGGCCAGTAGTTTGAGACTAGCCTGGGTAACACAGTGAGACTCTGTCTTTAAAAAAAGGTTTTTTTTTTTGTTTTTTTTTTTTTTTTTTTTATTTAAGCCAGGGGCTGTGGCTCATGCCTGTAATCCCAGCACTTTGGGAGGCTAAGGTGGAGGATCACTTGAGGTCAGGAGTTCAAGACCAGCCTGGCTAATATAGTGAAACCCCGTTTCTACTAAAAATACAAAATAAGTTAGCCTGGCGTAGTGGCACATGCTTATAATCCCAGCTACTTGGGTGGCTAAGGCAACAGGATCACTTGACCCTGGGAAGTAGAGGTTGCAGTGAGCCAAGATAATGCTACCGCCCAACAGCCTGGGCGACAGAGCAAGACTCCATCTCAAAAAGAAGAGTAAAAAAAAAAAAATTTTTTTTAAATAGGCATTGTGGCACATACCTGTAAGTCTTAGCTACTCAGGAGGCTGAGGCAGAAGCATCTCCTGAATCCAGGAGTTTGAGGCTACAGTGAGCTATGATCACACCACTGCACTCCAGCCTGGGCAACAGAGGGAGA